AGCAGTCTGGCTGTGCCTGTATCTGTCTACCCACAAACTTCTAGCTGCCAGCTTTGCTGGGAGCATGTGAGCCCCTCCTGAGTTACTGGAGGGACTGCCCTGTTGCACCGTGGGCTTGTCTTAGTTGTTTTGCTGCATGTAAGGATGAAACCTGGGGCAGGGACTCATCTCACCTGAGACTCACATCTTCTCATGGGACTGCCTGGGGCCTGGTCCTTTGTCCTGGAACCTGCTGCGGAAGAGTAGGACCATCTTTGGACGTGGTTGGGGATACAGCAGGACTAGTTCTGTGAATCTTCTGCAGGACCTTACCCCTGGCAGTGTGGAGGAGGCAGAGGAGGCAGAGCCCGATGAAGAGTTCAAAGATGCCATCGAGGTGTGAGGCTGGTGGGGGTGGGCTGTGCCTGCAGGACAACTGAGGCGGGAAGGGGCGAGGACCTTGGTGGGCAAGGTGGGCCCTCAGGGAGGGTGGCTGTGGGGTTAGGTGCCTCTGACTCCATCTGTACTGCCTCTCCTCTCTGTCCCATGCTGCGGGAGAAGGAGAACCAGCTGCTGGTCATGGTGAGTACTGCCACAAAGCCACTGTGTAAGAGGGGCGTCCCCTCCCAGCTGGAGCTGGCAGCCTTTGCCTAGTTTGCCAGTGACTTGGATCAATGCCAGATGAAGCATCCTGCTTGTTGGGTGCCTGTCTCTGGGGTGGGCTCCCCTGCAGCCCTCGAGCGTGCCCCCAGCCACCCCTTTGTGCTCAGCTGGCTCTCCTCTCTGCAGGAGGATGATGAGAGCTCCCAGTGCTCAGCAGAGTTTGACCTCAGCCTCCCGGACAACGGTTTTATGAGCAAAAATGAGGTGATCCGCAGCAAGGTGTCGCGTCTGACGGAGCGCCTGCGCAAGCGCTGCCCCAGCAACAACTTCGGTAAGGCCCTGCCCAGGGGAGCTCAGCAGAGCAGGATCCGTGCTGCTCCCAGTGCTGGCCACTGAACTGGGAGTGGACAGAACGGTGTGGTACCTGCTAGGGCTGTGCTGACACCCCCAGTGACATCCCCCCTCCATGGGGAGGATGTTCCTAGCCCTTCTAGGATGGGTAAAGAGGGGAGGTGCAGCAATGTAAAGTCTTGGGTTGGATATGACAGCAGCCATGGATTTTCCTGGATCTCCTGGGGTCCCAGGCAGCAGAGCCCTGCTTGACCTCTGCTCTTTATTCCAGGGAGCTGCACGGGCTGTGCAGCCACCTTCTCTGTGCTCAAGAAGAGGGTGAGTCTTTGGCTTCTGCTCCAGCTTGCTGCCTGCACCTAGGGCAGAGGTGTTGTGCGTGCTTGGCTCGCCCTGGCCTTCTCTGGCAGCTCGGGTGGCTGGCATCAGTCACAGCCTGGCAGCAGATGACAGTTAAGTGCTGGATGTTGTTGCATGCCTGGTGGTGCCAGAGCTCCCTTGTGCTGTGGAGCCTTTGTGTATTTGCTCCTTTGGAAGCTGCCTCTGGCCGTACCTGTGTGTGCTGGTGTAGGAGCCACCTGCTCTGTCCCCTGGCTTAGCCCGTTTCCTGTGCCTGAGAGCTTTCTGTGGAAGCAGAGCATGGGTGTGCCTGTGGTAACTAGAGGAGAAAAGGCCACCCCTGTTGTCTTGGGTGAGCTCCTGCGTGTGAAGCTTGGCATACAGTGCCCTGGGCAGTTCTGGGAAGCATGCATCTGGAGTTTGCTGGGGAGGGCTGGGTGTGGGCCCAGAGCAGTGTTTCACCTCCATCTCTCTCCACAGCGGAGCTGCAGTAACTGTGGGAACAGCTTCTGTTCCAGATGTTGTTCCTTCAAAGTCCCCAAGGCTGTGATGGGAGCCACTGGTGAGTGGAAAGGTGGAGGAGGGCAGAGCCGCTGCTCCCACCTGCACTTGTGCACTGCTGGGATCTGCCCCAGCCCTGGTGAGGAGGCTGGACAGGCCCTGATCAGCCAGCCTGGCTCCTGACAGAGCAGTGGTGGGTTTGCAGCTCCTGGAGCAGCTCTGTGGCTGGGGTCCCTAGCCTGTGGTGGGGAAGGGGGAAGCGTCTCTGACACCTGCTTTCCTTTCCAGCCCCGGAGGCTCAGAGGGAGACGGTGTTCGTGTGTGCTCTGTGCAACCAGGTGCTCACCAAGTGACTGAAATGGGCCCAGGCAGCTCCTGGGCCTTGCACTGCCTGACTCCCCAGAGAGTGGGCACCTTTGCAGCCAGGAGCCTGGGCTGCTTGGTTCCCAGAGTGACGTCACCTGCCAGAGGACACTTGTACTCACCGTTCCTCCTGCCAGCGCCGGGCTGGGGGCAGACCAGCCCCCTCTGCCACACAGTATCTGCCACAGAGCTGTGCCCCCATCCCTGCGGCTGTCCCCTGGAAGCTGCTCCAAGCCCTGGGTGCTTACTGGCACTTGCTGTGTCATGCCACGTGCTTGTCCAGGTCCAGTGGCCTGGCTCGGTGATGGAGGAGCCACCTTTCCCACTTGTGGTCCTACCTCCACCTGGGTGGGGCAGAACAACCTCAGGGCTCTATCCTTACCTTTCCCAGTGCTGTTCTAGGTGACTGTATTTTTGGGATCAAGTCAGAGCTCTACCTGCATCACTAGGAGATGTGGTCTTTGGTCCTGGCTCACCTGAGACCCTGCTAGTTGCTCCTGTGCTCCTTGGCCCCACGATCGGCAGGTTTAATCTTCTTCTCTCCCCCCATTAATTTGGATGTAGTGCAGGGGAGGCAAGAACATGAGTTTAAGCTGGGCTGTGTGACCAGGTCTCCAGCTGTAGTGGGGCAAGGGGCATGAGCTGGTCCTGCTCTTAGTGACTGCTGCTTTCTACTACAGTTTAATATATGTGTATATAGAGAATGACCAATAAATCTCTTGCCCTCAGCTGGCTTTTGTTTTGCCCCAGTGAAGTCTGTCCCAGGTTACCTCTACACTTCTGTGGCCTTGTCCCCACTGTCCTGCAGGTGACCATAGAGAAATGCTGTGTCTCTGCCACAAGGTCTCCTTGCTGAGTTTTCCACCTTCTGTCACACTGTGGCCTCATTTGCCCCCTGCTCAGGGCTGTGCTGCTGCCCCTCCTTGGCCATACCAGGGCCACATCCTGTTGGGCTGGAGCCGAGGGGAAGCTCGGCTCTGCCCGGGCAGGCTGGGCTTCCTCTCTGCCTCCTGGGGCTGCTCCTTCCCTTGCCCTGCCCAGGCGGTGGTCCCTGCAGCTGCCTGCCTGCACAAGGGTGACCTTTCGCTGTGTGAACAGCAAAGCCCCCAGCTATCCCAGGAATGTGACCCTGGCTGCCGTGCAGCTGGGAATGGCTGTGGCCTGGGTCCCTGCCAGCCAGCTGCAGCTCCGGCCAGGGGGTTGGAGGGGGGTGGCTGGTGCTCTTGGGCTGGCATTGCTCAGTGCCCACCAGGCTGAGAAGGTGCCAGGGACGTGGATCTCACTGCTGATTGTACACCCCACCAGCGTGGGAGCTTGAATGGGGCAGCCCTGAGGGCATCCTGAGCCCTCCCCTTTGTTGTGGGCTCATAAACCCCTTCCTCAAGCTGTGCCCTATGGAAATTTGGGGAAAAGCTGGGCTTGGCAGTGATCATGAGGGCGTTTGAGTTGCGCTGGGTGTCTTCCAAGGCCAGAGTGTGCAGGGGGGCTGGCATGGGGGTGGGCATGCAGAGGGCTAAGCAGTCACTGGGGGCAGTGGAGCATCTGTAGCTTTAGGGAGGGGGCTGTGCAGCACCCCAAGAGTTGTGGAGTTATGTTTGTGGGTGGGGGTGTATCTGCAACGGGGTGGGTACTGTTCTGTGAGAGGCTGAGGGGGTTGAGCTGTAGACCTCAGATGGCTGATGGTGGGAGGCAGAGGATTTACTTGCATTTGTAGAGAAAACGCTTGAAGTGGTGCTCATCACACTCCTGTTCGTCTCAGCCCCTCCTGGAAAGATGCTAATGGCACAGAATACAGAGGGCTACAGATAAACTTGGACTGTGGGAGATGAGGCTTTATTTGTGCACTTTGAATTTTGCCAGAAAATGACATAAGTGATGATGTTTATTCCTCAGCTGCCTCACTCTGAACATACCTTCTAACGATATTTGGTTTCTTTTCCCCCTCCTCCCCCCATTTTTTTTCCACATTGGCAAGGGTGGGGGCGGTAGCCGCCTGCACCTGGCTTGAGACTGTGTCAGTGTCTGGCCAACCCATTCCCTGGCCGGCTGTGGGGCAGGGCCCTGTGGGGTTCTGAGGGGTGGCCAGTGGGTCCAAGGCCATGCTCCAGACAGGCAGAGGGAGCAGGGATCACCCTGGCACGGCACAG